CTGGACCCTTAAGTCCCTGAAGGAGGGGGGCAACTCCTGACCTCATCAGCCCACCCCAGCTCTGCCCCCGCACCTGCAGGGCACTCTGGCACATGTCCACCAGCCCCTGAATGAGGTAATACTTTGCTTCAGCCATCAGTTCCTTGATCTCTTGCCGGTTTTGAGGGAGAGTGATGGTGTCATCTCGGAGGTAATTCAAAATGGTGCCAAAGTGCTTTCCACATCGGTCTATGAGGATCCAGCCTAGGGATTCAGACCTAGAGAATTACTGTTTGCCCCCAGGTGCCTCAGAAACAGGCAGGAGGCAAAAGGTCACTGGATGGATTTGGTGGCAGGTGGCAAGAAAAGGAGTTACATGAACATAGGGCCCACAGCATAGTGATGACAGAAGGGGGACCAGAACTTCCAGCTGTCAGGTCCATGGCTGCTCTTCACCCCTCCACCCTGGAACCAAGAACTGACACCTGCTGTGGGAGCACAGCCCTCCAGGCTCTGCTGAGGCCCCAGAGGTCCAAGCTCGGGAGCACTCAGGCCCGCCCTCTTGCAACACAGAAACCACCAGGCCCTGCTTCCGTCCTGCCCACTGCCCAGGTACTACCGCAATGGTTCTTATGAGACTCCAGTTCTCTGAGAATATAAAACAAGTATGGATCTTCTCCCTGGAAAAATGCATAAATCTACAAGCATTCTATGTGCAATTTCAAAGGATTCTGAAACTCTACAAAGGACTCCAAATGAAGAAGTCCTATACTAGGTGAGTCGAGATTCTGGATCTGCCACGCTTAAGCCTTGCCCTGAAGTCACTTTTCAGGAACTCCTCCTTTCTTCCCCACCCACTCAACAAGCCTTGATGCCTCACCTTCTTTGTCCGTCAGCACCTCCATGCGCCCACTGAACATGGCCTTGAGCATGGTATCATGACGGGTGAGTGCCCTCACAGTGGTGTAGTACAGGGAGCCACCTACATTGAGCTGGACGTACTTGTTGCCCAGGCCTCCGCCCTTGAAGCCGCTTAGCTTGGGCTTGGCCCCTGAGGCTGGGCACAGACAGGTATCCCCCGACATCTCCCGCTGCAGGTAGATTACCACACGGCAGGAGGTAGGCTTGGAAGGCTCCGCCGTGGTGGAAGGGGTCACAGGTGAGTGGCCAGTGGAGGCCAGAGCCTCATACTCTCAGCGCTGTGGGCAAGAGATGGGAGAGAAGGCAGGAGTCAGCAGAGCAGAGCCCTCAAACTAGGAGGGGACAACAGGAGAAACACTGACTAGTCAGTCATTCCCTCCTTGATCTTGATACATCCAAGTACTCCCTGGCAGAGGCCCACTCCCTGGGCAACAGTAAGAAGACTTCCCTGCTGTTCTTTACTGTCCCAGGAACCAGGCCGGGAGCACAGTCTCTCAGAGCCTGGCTCTGGTCACCTTACCAGGCCAGAGTTGAGTCAGCCTCCATGAGACTCAGCTCAGCTCTGGGTGGCAAGAAAGACAAGCGAGTCCTAGGAACTGGTCAAAGAGGGTCTGAGGAATAGACTGACAGAGCAGAAATCCTCATCCTGTGGAATCTACCATTCAGACTCGCAGTTATTATCTTCTCAAAGTTTCCAGGATCCCAGACTTCCAGTCAAACCTACTGAGAATCCAGCCTGCCTAGGAGTTTTCCAGAAGCCAGAGGGACAGGATGTACTTCCTTCCTACCAGATTCCATACTCAAGAGCGGCCAGCACTGGCACTTAGTCTGAGTGCCACCTGGGGTCTGGTTCCAGGAAGGAACGTGAAAGCAGGTTCAGGAGAGAAAGAAGGGAGTGAGGCAAGTGGGAGGGAGCCGGCACACTGCTCTTGGCAGAGGTATCCTGGCTCCAGCTGGGGGCTCCTGACCTTCCCCTTTCTTGGCACCACTCTTATCCCAAGTTCATGAAATTGTCACCGTTTTTCAGGGTAGATGAACTACAGGATGGCTGTTTTCTCTTTTTTTTTTTTCCTGAGAGGTGGCCCAGCCCTATCTCTTCCTCTCTTTCCTCTCAACAAGAAAAGGGCCAGAAAAGACTAGAAGATAAATCTAAAAACAATTATGTGACTTGGAAATTGAAACTCTAACAGGAGGTCACAGGAGGGAAGAGCAAGGAAAGAAAAGGAGAGCAAAGCCAGGTCACCCCTTACGATTTAGATCTATCTATTTTTTTGCTTTCTAAAGAATCAAAAAAATTCATTCACTGAGGAAAAAACAGGTAACATTCATTGCATGTTTACTATATGTCAAGTATATTTCTAAGCATCTAACATATATTAAACCCCAAAACTAAACCTGTTGCTGTTGAGCAAGTCCAACTGATAGCGATCCTATGGGACAGAGTAGAACTGCCCCATAGGGTTTCAAAGGCTGTAATCTTTACAGAAGCAGACTGCCACATCTTTCTTCCATGGAGCGGCGGATAGGTTTGAGCTGCTGACCTTTTGGTTAGCAGCTGAGTGCTTTAACCACTGTGCCACCAGGGCTCCTTAATAGATATTAGCTCATTTAACTAACTTAGGGAAAAGAAAACCACCGCCACCACCAATAGCATATCCTGTCATGCAGCGGAGCCCTGATGACATGGTGGTTAAGAGCTGGGCTGCTAACCAAAAGGTCAGCAGTTTGAATCCGCCAGTCGCTCCTTGGAAACCCTATGGGGCAGTCCTACTCTGTCCTATAGAGTCACTATGAGTTGGAATCGACCTGACAGCAATCGGTTTGGTTTGGTATTTTTATGTTATGCAGAGGGATAAAAAGATGAAGAGATACTGTTATTTCCTTCAAGGAGTTCAAAGAAGCATCATAAAATTGGCAAGAATAAAACAAGAGCATTTATTGTGCCCCTACTATGTGCCAGGCCTGCGGATACAGAAGAGAACAAACAAGTCATGTCCTCATGGAGCTTACATGTTTGTGTGTGTGTGTGTGTGTGTGTTGTGTAACTGACAATAAGTGAGAAAACAAATAAGCAATTTCAGAAGGCGATAAATGCAAAAAAAGATAATAAAACAGTGATAAGGGAAAAGCACTAATTTAGATAAGGGGCCAGGGAACTCTTCTTTGGGAAGGTGACATTTAAGCTAAGGTCTGCAAGAGCATTCCAGATAGACAGAAGAGCAAATGCAAAGTTCCCTGGCTAGAAACAAGTTAGAGGAAAAGAAGTAAGGTTAAAATTGCTGATGCATAGAAATAAGGTGGAATTTGGTTGGATGTAAGATCAGGAAAGGCAGGGACCAGATCATATTAAAAAGTTTGGATTTTAATTGCAATGGGAATCCATAGGAAGGTTTTAAGCAGGGGAGTGATATGATGCAGTTATGTTCTGAAAAGATCATTTTGGCTACTGTGAAGAGAATGCATTGTAAGAATGCAAGAGAGGAAGCGGGAAGACCAGAGGAAGCAGCAGTCTAGGCAAGAGATGATGATGGCTTGGACTACCACTGTAGTAACGGAGACAGAAAAAAGGAGGAATCACTTCATTTAATCCTCACAACACAAAGTTTACAGTTGCTCATCAACTCCTGTAAATGCAAACCAGAAACAGTGCCCTGGTTTGAGTTTACTGTTTTGCTCTCCAAACAGTGCACAGCACAATGCTACACATATTTTAAGTATTTAATATATGTTGGTTTGTTAAGACTGAAACTATCCCAGAAAAGATTTTGGTAGATCCCTGGGAAGAATGTGCAAGGAAGGGCCAGAGCAGGTGCTGTATGAAGTACTGAATTCCGTTGTGGGTTGGTCCGGCAGGCTTTTCAATTTGCCTCAGGGATGGGATGTGGAGGAGCTGGGCCCTCACTTACAATCTGTCCAATCAGTCAGTATCACTTAAATGGTTGGAGATCACCTTACTTCCCTAGCCCAACCCCAAAGAATGAACCCACCCCTTAACAAGTTTTACTAAGTTCCCCATGTACCGTATGTTGTGTCTGGACCCAATTTTCCTAGGGTCAAAGAAAGTACACATACATGTTCTGTCAAAGCAGAGGAACTCAAAGGCTCGGCTAGTCTACAGAGGAAGACAAAAGTCTTTGTCCAGAGCTAATCTATTCCCTTCCCTACAAAAGCAACAGCTTTGGGCCCCTGGATGACGTCAGCTCAGATTCCGCCCAAACCAATGGATTCCAGGAATCCTGTGGCAGGTAACGCCCAGAAAGCAATTCCAGTGAGAATGAAGTTTCCAGTGATACCCTCAGTGCTCTTCCTTCCGGACTTTGTTTGTGGATATTTGGGGACGCCTGGGGCTAGAGGCGTATCTGTGTCTCACTCAGTGAAGCTAAAGGGACTCGTGCTGAATAAACGGCAAACAGCCACCGCGAATAAGGCGGGAGAAGGTGGGTGGGGTCCTGAGAACTAAGGAGTGAGAAATCCGTCACACGGGTGATGGTGGGGAAAGCCAATCTTGCCAGGAGAGGGCGGCTCTAGCAGAAATTCTAGGTGTGAATCTTAGCCTTTATTCAAAGGGTCATGGGGAGATTTAGCGAGACCCACCCTCTCTTGGAGTCTTCCCCAGCCCGTACTCCTCACTACCGAGACCAGTTCTGACGTCCACCCCAGAGAAGGATTTGAGCTCTCCATTTCTTCTACGCCGTCCCACCCTTCTCCCCCAATACCGGGTGGGGACCTCTTTGCTCCAGCCCCAGCTCTCACCGTCCACAGGGGCGCCGCTCCCTTCTCTCCCCTGGGTTTCTAGCAGACTCCGTACAACCCCTGTACTGCGACCGCCTGCCCACCCTCAATCCCAGGGCGTGAGCTCACATCCTCCGCCCGTCGACTCCGCCCCGAGCCGCGGCCCAGCCACGGTCTGGGGAGCCTGAACACTACAAGGCCCGGCATGCCCAGCATCATAGCGCGAGGTAGAAGGCACAGCGCTTCCGAGTATTCCGCGGTTAGACCACAGCTACTTCCGGCAACCTTGCTAGCGCAAAGGCCTGTGGGTCTCGTAGGTAGTCATCCTTACTTTCAGGCCTCTGTCTCCCAGCAGGCTCTGTGGGGTGGGAAGATGTAAGTGTTTCCGGTGTCAGGTAGAGACGTCATGGGTAAACAGGACCTGTAGCCGTGGCAGCGGTCGAGGCGGGCTGGTAGGCAGAGTACCGCTGACCGGGGAGCGAAGCTGCCGCAGATATCAGCCTGGACCGCAGCGCGCCACCGTTACTGGGCCTACAAGTAAGCCATGACTGCGGGTCGAGGCATGCGGGCTCGACTCAGTGCTCCCGAGGCAAGGGGCAGAGTCGAGCGGACCCGGCGCTAGATGAACCTGACAGGCCGGTGCCCTGAGGCAATCCCAGGCCAAAAGTAAAGTGGAGATTCCGCCCAACTCTTTGGGAGTTGTTTTTTACATCCAGTTTAGGGCTGGAGCTTTGTATCCGTTCATGCGCTTAATGATCTTATGAGGAAACTGGTTCAGATAAGTTCAAAGAGTTTACATAGTTAAGACAGAGCCAGCTCCATCAGCCAGGTCTTCCTTCTGCCCAGAGCACCTTCCTTCACACACCATGGATGGAGTTTACTGTTGTGCCTGGCTTGGCTCTGGGAGGGCGGAGGGGGGGGATGGGGGGGGGGCAGAGAGAGTGTTACGGCCACCATTCTCAGGGAACTCAGTCCCCGCTATTTTGCCCTGTGTTCCTCAGATGCCCAGAGTGTGGTAGGAGTTGGGAGAGAATCTGGTAGTTGGCTGTGAACTCTCTCCCTACACTCCTTCTCTGGTCTTATCCATCTCATTAACTATCCCCTCCAGCCGTTCACTTGGTTCAGGATAGATACCTGGGAATCATGCCTGACTCTGCTTCATTCATCTTCCAACTCCAGCATTCAGTGAATCCATTACTAAGTCCAGTGGACTCAACTTACGAAACATCTCAAATCGGAACACTTTTCATCAGTTCCTAGCCTTGGTTACTGTAATAGCCTACTATCTACTTCCACAGTCATTCATTCCACAAACATTTACTGAATTATTATGTGCAGGCCCCATGCGAGGTTCTAGGGTTACAGGGTTGAACAAAGTGGTGTAGCCAGCCCCACCCTCTTGTTCTCTCCGATCCATTCTTCATCCTGACCCAGAGTAATACAGTGAAACCTGTGAAAGCTGGAACTCGACGGAACTGCCTTGTTTTTCTGGGTCTCCGCCTTTGAAAGGGTGCAGTCTTGTCACTTTTTTATCGCTCGTTTTAGTGGCAAATATTTGAGTTTTCCTTCTCTGACAGGGTTCGACCTGACGTTGGTTCCAGCTTTTGCGGGTTTTACTGTATTTCTAAAATTCAAGTCTGATCATGCCACTTTGCTGAGAATCCACCGGCTGCCCATCACCCTTAACATCAAATCCAAGCTCATTACTGTGGCTTTCACAGCCCCCCATGATCCAACTCTAGCCTCGCTATCTAGCCTCATCCTTTTTCACTCTCCCTCTTGCTCACAGTGTTTCAGTCACAGTGGCCTTTCAGTTCTTGGACTGCTTCAAATTTCTTATAGACTCAGAATCTTCACACATGCTGTTCCTTCTGCCTGGACTGCCTCCCTTTCCCTTGCACTTGACAAACTTTTGGACATACTTTAGGTCTCAGCTTAAGTGTCAGAGAGGCCTTTGCTGACACCCCCTCCCCATATGAATTATGTCCTCCTATACCTTCACATAGCACCATCTGCCTTTCCTCATACTGTTATCACAATTTGTGATTATTTGCTTACTGTCTGTCCAGAGGTCAGGAGCTAAAGCATTTTGTTCACTGCTTGATCCCTAGAGCAGGGACTCAGTAGATATTTCTGAATGAATGCATGGTCCCTGGAAAGGAAGTAGAAGTTGAAGCAGATGTTTGCTTCCTTGTATTACTTGAAGTTTTCTGGAGCAGCTGGTCTGATTAAACATCTAGTAGGTTTTAAATACTCGGAGTATATGTGTAAATATAACAGGACAAGCAGGAAGACAAATCTTTTTAAAAAGCTTGGATTCCAGTGAGGCCAGAGGCTCTGGGCCAGAGTCATACACAGGCAGCCCATGGACATACATTCGTTGGTCCACACAGTGTTGGGTGGTTTTGTTTTTTTCCCTCACTTTAAATTAGACACCAACACGTAAAAGTCAGACTTCATATAAAAATCTGTATTTCTGGTCCCTTGAAAAGAAGGTCAGGAAACAGTGGGGCTTTCTTTTCTAACCGTTGCTCCCCTGGTGGAGCAACTGCCCCAGGCAGTCACTGTCAGAGTCACCCCTTCAGAACAGAACTTCTCTCAGGATGCTGGTAGGGAACCCCGTGAGGCTGGGGGAGGTGGGAGCAGAGAGAAGGGTCTAACACAGGGCCAGGTGATGGTAGCCTTTGGAATACCTGGCGTTTTGAAATTGGTATAGCAGCCAATGACTAGAAGTATGTAGTATTGCCTCCTTTTCTGGACAGGGCGGGCACTGTTTCTGTATGTTTGTTTGTTTTTTGCTTGTTTCTTAAGCCGGAACAAGGGTGAGTTTTACGTGTTTCTTCTCCCAGAATTGAGGCATCCTTTAGCCAGGAATGTGAGGAGACCTGGGAAGAGAAACATTGTCTCTGTTGGTTCTCTGTTCCCTACAGGGGGGAAAAAATCCACACTCCTTAGCTTGGCATATAGGCTCATCCTGATTCTGCTCCACCCAGCTTCTACTCCGTCCTCTTGCCCTTCCTCCTCTGGGCAGGACAGGCCCTTCAGTGACTCCAGACCTTTGTCCACACTGCTTTCTCTGCTTGGAATGCCTTTCCCTGGCCTCCTTATGTGGCACATTCTTGCTGATTCTTCATTCCTTTTTGTGTTTTCTGCTAGAGACAGGCAGACCCAAATTTGGGTTCCACTTCAGGCAAGTGTACGGTACCATAAGGCATAGATTATGGGTAATAGTCGTACTCCTGGTTTCTTATATTTTAACCCTAGTTTTTACTTCACACAGGTTTCTTTTACTTGCTTTTTGTTTTGTTCCAGTACATGTATTTAAAAAGCTTTTTTTTTGGGCACATAATATAACGAGGGATAAATAAACATGCTCACGGCTCATGAGTTAGTTCCAGTGTCACTCCCTCACATCTGCATTAGCTGCTCTGTCCTCCTCCTCCTCCGTAGTGATGTCTCTGTAAAAGCACTTACCACAGTATAATTTTCCAGTTTACATGTCTGTCTTTCTCCAGCTAAACTGTGTGCTTCTTCTGGGGGGGTACCATATTGCATTCATCTTTGTACCCCGAACATCTAGCAGTTTTGGTGTATAGTAGGCACTCAAGAAATATGTGTTGAATGAAAAATGCCTGTGACAAGCAACTGTACTTTATTCTTTCCTGACCCTTGCTCCTATGACGTACCTCTTGTGGCTGCCACTGTCACTCCTTCAGAGCTTCTCTTTTCTAGGGGAGCCAGAAGGGAAGTAGGTGAGGCTCACAGAGGTGGAGGCAGAAGGAACACAAGCCTTTGGAACATCTGGGATTTTGGCTTTGGTGTCTTGGGGTAGGAGCAGGGCTGGGCGGGAAGCAGGTTATTTCCTCTAGTGACTGGGAAGTGAATGGGGATCGGGGCTGGTTTCTTTGCAGCTATGGCAAAGGACATCCTGGGTGAAGCAGGGCTGCACTTTGATGAGCTGAACAAGCTGCGGGTGCTGGACCCAGAGGTTACCCAGCAGACCATTGAGCTCAAGGAAGAGTGCAAGGACTTTGTGGACAGTGAGTGTCATTTGGGGGGACCTGGCCACTCAGCTTTGAGCTGTTCCATCCACATCCCACGCCCACCCTGACTGCAGCTCTTGGCCCGGCTCCCTGGAGGTTGAGCCTGGCCGTCAATTCCCATGTCATCACCCGTCTACCTGCCCTCCTCTTCTGCTCTCACGTAGTCCCACACAGAGCACTGATCAAAACAAACATTGGGATGGTGAGTGGGGGATGTGTCTTTTAGATATGTTGTCTTTTATTTTTTTGTTCTCAGAAATTTTAAATGTAACGGGGGCTGAACCATGACTTGGGGGTAGAGTAGGGTGGGGAGTAGAACTGTGTGCTCGTGATTTGATTTCTTGGGAAAAAGCATTCTCAGTGTCAGGTTTTCCATTATTTGGAGTTAAAGGTGATAACAAAATCTCTAGAAACAGCTCAACACTCAGTGAAGTCATCTTTTGGCCAAAGATCTCTAGGAAGCCGCCTGTACCAGCAGCCAAGCAAGTCCGGTGAATACAGAGCCAGGCCTAGGCAGAGCAAGGGATTTCCGAGCCTTCTGGCGATGCCCTAGTCTGTGGAGAGAGCTTGACTAGTGAAAGGTAGCTTGGGTCCTATGTGATTGCTGTGCATGTTGTCCCACCGCTCTGGGTCATCGTTTACTCCTCAGTAAAATGGGGCTCCACCACACCAAGGACATTGGAAAAAAGAGATTAGGTGCTTAAAAAGCACAGAGCTCCTACTTAGCTCTGGTTACAGGTGGAAAGCCCCCACCCCACCATTCACTGATATCCATAGTGTGTACAGTGAAGAGGCAGCACTCATGTCCTGAGCCAGTCCTTTCACTAACATGGCCTTTTGTGCTTCCTGCCACCCCTAGTGAAGTAGGATTTGGACCCATATGGAGGATAGGCCCACCAGGAGCCTGGTGCCATCAGTCTGAGTTAATAGTGACTGACTGACTCAGTGGGGATTCAGGGTCCAAGTATTCCCAGGACCAGCTTCAGGCACCTGGCCCACTCTTTTCTAGCTTCAGACTAAGGGTATGAGACTTTAGGCTAGCAGGCACTGAGGAGGAAGTGATGATACTGAGAAAATAAAACATTTTATTTTTTGTTCTTTTCCTAAAAGAAATTGGCCAGTTTCAGAAAATAGTTGGTGGTTTAATTGAGCTTGTTGACCAACTTGCAAAAGAAGCAGAAAATGAAAAGATGAAGGTAAGATCAGCATGTCTTCTGTCTAGATCTTGGGCTGGGACCCTGGTTCCCAGCTTCTCATCCTTCTGCCGTCTTGTTTTGTTGGGAGAGTGGTTCTTTTATTTAGTTAAAACAAGATAAAAAAAATTCCTGGCCCAGTTAACTACTGAACTCCTCTATGACAGGATACTTGCATTATTTCATTTAATCTTCACATCAGTACTGTGATAAGTAGCTTTAGCCTCATTTTATAAATGAAGAAATGAAGGCCTGCAGGACGTAGATGACTTGGCAAAGGACCCAAGGCTAAATGGCACAGCAAAAGGGCCAGTGAACTCCAGTGTGTCAGGCTCGGGTGATACTCCTAGACCTTGCCTCACAGAGCTGCAGTTCAGTTCTCCTAGAATTTCAGTTTACACATGAGGAACTTTGGGGCCATTAGGTTAATCCTTTTTATTTACCCCAAAGCTCTAGGGCTTGACTTTCTTTACCCCTCTCAGCACTGACATATCAACCCCAAAACAGCCCTTCTGCACGTTGAGGACTTAATGCTGTGGCCAACTGTAAGGGCGCCATGACCTTTTCTTTGGCAATACCGTGTTTTCTAGGCTATTGGCGCTCGGAACCTGCTCAAATCTATAGCCAAGCAGAGAGAAGCCCAACAACAGCAACTTCAAGCACTAATAGCAGAAAAGAAAATGCAGCTAGAAAGGTAAGTCCTGACGTAAATCAAGTTCTTCTTCACTCAAATTCTACTTTTTCTTCTGGAATGATCACCTTTCATCTTTATTCTTCATCATTGTTCTCCCATTAAGTATCTTACTTGTCCCATCCTACTTTGAAGATTTTTAAAGTTAAATAAAATTACATTGGATGGGAGGGCGATAGAAAATGTGTCAATATTAAACAAACCTCTAGTTGTTTGAGAGCACAGAAGGATGAGCGGTAGATTGAAAGTTCAGGTGGTGAGGGTCTGCAAGGTTGGCTGGTTCTCTGAAAGGAGGAGACCGTCTTCCCAGGGCTAGAGACTTCTCACAGGTGGTCATGGGTAGGGCTTCACCTCTTTTTTTTCTTTGCATTTTCTTTCTTCTTGCCCTCACTAACTTCGTCATTCTGGACTCACACCGTTTCTTGGAATCATTTAAATCTCGTATACTCTTCTCTAGAAGAATTAACCCTAAGGTTGATTTCATCCGTTTTTTAGGGCTTCTTAACAATTTTGTTTTTCAGGTATCGGGTTGAATATGAAGCTTTGTGTAAAGTAGAAGCAGAACAAAATGAATTTATTGACCAATTTATTTTTCAGAAATGAACTGAAATTTTTCATTTTTATAGCAGGAGGGCAAAAAAATAAACCAAACAAACCTCTGTACCATTCCAATGACTTGTTGACTAATGACCCAAGTATGCCACGTGAGAGAGACAGTGTGTAAGGAATGCATCTCTGAAGGCAGTAATACAAATTTGGGGGAATTCGTTTTCAGCAGCATCAGGGCGTATCTGCTGGCAAACACTGGTGCTGTGGCTGCTGGCCGCCACGGAGGCACGGGTTCTCACCTCTGCATTCTTAGTCTGAACTAGGCAACCTGTAAACTTGGATCCTTTTTTGTAAATCCACAAAGCTTTGAAAGAAAAAACAATAAATTATTGTTTTCAAATGGCTTGATCTGTCTCTTTTCCTGGTGCCCGTGAAGTACATTAAGCCCCTTGTAAGGGGACCCCAGACACTATCTCCCACTCCACAAAACAAGCCAGGCAGTGGTCAGCAGCTACCTTTATTTGGACCAGACACACAAGAGTCAGACAATACTGCCCACAGTCAGACCAGATATGGCCTGTGAGAGGGAAAACAGAGGAAATTGACTGGGATCCGTTTCTGTCATTTTCCATGTGCGTTCACAGATTTTTTTTTTTTTTTAGGGTTGGCTTTGAGTACAAATTTAGGGAAAGCTAATGAAACACCAAGCACGAATGTCCAGCCACCCTGTATGCACACACCGGACGGGTTGTACCCAGCTGCCCCTCCCCTACTTCTGAGAACAAGATGGAAGGAATGATTCAACTGTACTAGGCAGGAGAGAGCTAACCATCAGGAAGCACACTTTCAGGTCAGATCTGAGATAACTGACTTCAGAGGAAAGGGACTAGTAGGTTAGGTCTCTTAAAAATAGAAGACTAAGAATTGGAAAGATGAACAAGGTGACTTTAAAAATCTCTACTCCTGGGTTGACCTGCATAAGACAGAAACAACCCATTTCTGACAGAAAGTCATGCTTTGCAGAATGTTTTCTTTTTTCTGGGGCGAGGGAGGAAGGGGAAATAAGAAAACATAATTTTGGAATGAGTATAAGGGAGGCATAATTTCAAACTTGAAAATGGCCTGAAACATTCCACTATTCATTTTGCTGACTAGTGACACGCTATAGAGAATCATGAGTCAGGGGTTTAGTCACATGTATATTGTGGGTCAAACGACTCACGACCATGCTAAGTAGGCCATGTTTCTTGGAAGTTCATCCTGTCTCTGGTCTGGTCCTGCTCTTAGCAATCCTGAAATGGAACTTGGGGCACACAGTGAGGTATTTGGCACACTTCCTACAACCCATCCACCTCCCTCCGGCCAACCTCAGTGATCGGGCTGTTCATCCCAGTGCCCTTGCAAGGCGAGGCTGACTTGGCTCCTGTTAGCATCGTGCTCTTGTGCATTGCTGCTGATGTGTTTCAAATGCTGCTGAAGACATGGGTTCTGAGCAGTTTTCCACGTACTGGGTCTAATAGGAATATGCCTTATGGGCATCTTTTCCCTGAGACCAGGGCCTGTTTCCCTCATTTTTTCTTTCTTTTTTCTTCATACTTATAGTGGGGGCTCCGCAACATGAAAAGGAGAAGCGTGAGAGGGATGAGAAAGTAGGGGACATACACAGATACAAGGGTTAGTCGTTCATGGAAAGTTTTGGGTCCTTCTCCTTTGAAACCACTGGCTTTGGAGAAATTCTCAAATAGCAGCGTGGAGAGAACCGGAAATAAAGTGGTCATCGTGTGGACTGAGTAGATGATTGCAGGGGTGCGGATCCACTTGCAGCCTCCTAGTCAGTGGAAAAGGAAAGAAAAGCTCTATGTCTGTTCATGACTCTTTCCAAGGGCCAGAAGTGATATTCTCCACCTTGTCTCTGCTTGGCTGCTACCCTTCAGCTCAATCATTTTACTTCTCTAAGTGGAAACTCAGCAAATGGAAAAGTGAGTCTGTGTTATACTGCCCTATGTGCAAACTCCTATCTTTATGTAACAGCTTGGACGCGAGCTCACTAATTGCTGAAGAACCAAGGGTGGTGGCCCAGAATAAAACTGAAGAAAACTCTAAGGCAGTCAAAGGGCCTTTACCAGTTAAACCCATTTGTTCTAATAGGGGGGTGGGGGGACCTTGAGGTGTCTATTTGTTAAGGAATTATATATACCCACTCCTCACTTACCAACATGTTTATTTTCCAAAGACCAGGTCGTTAATGTGAAAATTGGCGTTATGCAAAAATGGAGGATGACCACATCAGATCACAAAATGTTATGTGGGACACATCCCTCTGGACCTGAGAGGTGGAAAATGTAGGTGGGCACTATTACGTCCCACTGGTCACGAAAGGCTTACTGCCAGACGTACATCGTTAATGTGCAAAATAGTCCGCTAGTATATTTTTTACTATTGTCATAAATGTCAAATGTCAGGTAACGAGATAGTCGGTAAGTGAGGAGTAGGTGTATAGGTGAGATGATCAACAGGTTCTACCAAAAGATGGATTAGTGATTCAAGGGGACTCCAGTGGGAAATAAGCATTTTCAGCTGTATAAGCTTTGTTACCAAGTGCATAGGTATGGCCATCTGCTTTATATAAGCATCAATTACATGGGAACACTGTAAGAAAAATTTTAAATGAGAGGTTAAACTCTTCAGGCATGAGCTTGATGCTACTGCTTTTAAGTCAGTATGATACCACCCAATGCAAGAAGATAAAAGCCAACTATAAAAGAAATTAATTCTGCAGGGGGAAAACAAAACAATAAAAAGAAGGAGGCCATCTTTAAAGTGGTCTCAGGTTTCAGGAGTATGAGAGGGATTTCTGGAAGACTGAGCAGCCATACAGCCCAGCTGACCAGTCTGGACTGTGCCGCTACAGGCCTCTGTCCAGCAGGCCCTTTTCCTTGGTCACTCCCACCCCCACTTCCTTTCAGTTATATACTACTTTCCTGTCTTCATACTCATCATCCTTACCTCACGTCACATCACTACCTCTTCTTTCTCCCCCACAGAAAGACATCAGCCCAAGCCACACTAATGTCCCTTTACGAGATCTATTCTGGCCATCTCTACCAAATCCTGTCTCTCTCCAGGAGCTTCCTCTGTCCACCCCTGACTCTTGTGGAGATGCTACAGGGAACACCCCCCTCTCTCTTGGAGATGCTTTCCCAAAATATTTCAGGGACCTGATTTCTGAGCAAAAAAGTGATTCTCCCACCATTTACCAACCTTTGAAGAAGGCGTATGTTGCAAAGGGAAAGAAAGGCAGCTGAAAAACAAGCTCACAAAGCAGGAAGGACTTAAACCACGTCGGGGGATCCTGTAGCAGAGGATCTTTGAACTCCTTAGCATACCACTGCTGCAGGTTTCTCAGCTGAAAAACAGAAGACAAAGCAATAACTAACAACAAATTAAAGCTATCTTGGCTGGATAGCTCAGCATCTCCAGCTCATCTGAAGATACATCAAGAGTCTCTCACTAACCAACCCCCTTGGCAGCAGATGGCACACCCTGGCTGGCTTTTGTGATACAGGCCAGATGGTCATTTCATAAAAACTCACCAGCTCTAACTCAAACGTTACCTTCTTTGTGAGGTTTTCCTTGGGTCTTCCAGCCCCTTTGTGCCAGCTGGCATTTGTTTGTAACTCCATGATAACACAGATCCAGGTGTGTTGCCCACTGTCAAGAGCAAGAGTATCTAGCACTTGGCAGGCTCAGGATGTTTGGTGAATGAACAAATGACATTTCTGCCAACATAATCATTCTTTGTAAAGAAATGATAGATGTGAAAGTCATCCTGACCTTTTTCCTTTCACAATAGCAACTAAGGGCCAAATTCCCTCAAATACAGAAATGAATTTAATTCCTTGCCCTTTGGTGGGGAAGAGCTATCTAACGTTCATGGAGATATGATTTTGGACACTTTTAATTCCAATATCTTAAATCAGTGCCTCATTTTTCAAAAAACAAAGTTGTCATCAAGTTGACTCCAACTCGTGGCAGCCTCGTGTGTGTCAGAGTAGAACTGTGCTCCATAGGGTTTCCAATGGCTGGTTTTTCGGAAGCAGATCACCAGGCCATTCTTCCGGGGTACCTCTGGGAAGACAGGAACCTCCAGCCTTATGGTTAGCAGCCAAGCGTGTTAACTGTTTGCACCACCAGGGACTCATTATTCTTAACTCCCCTAATTCTAAATTTTTTTCTTTTAGGATATTTATGGAAGAACAAGCTCTGCCCCAAACCACAAACTGTAACTTTTAGACTATGGCAAAGTTTCAGAGTTAGTGGTCCCAGTTCTAGCTTGGACCCACCCCTGCTATTACCCTGCCAAATAAAAGATGCAGACCCATGCTGACGTGACTGTAGGCAGAGGAAGGAAGCAGGAGGCTTTGATGCTGCTCATTTTGTGTTTTTAATAAGAGCCCAAAGCCTAGAGCTCTCCACTTAATGTGGACTACAGCAAATCTGTCACATTTAACCTCCTGGAGATAGCATTGTCCTGAACACCTGCCCTTAAAGCCAAATAACTCTTTATTGTGATTAAAAAGAAAAGCTCCAATGTAAGAATTTTGCATAAAATGGAAAATCCAATTTTCCCGTTAATTTTTCATCAAAAGACAAAGGCTCACTATTGTGAAATAATATGAGGCCCCATTGCCGATAGCCAGCTGTAAGCAAACATCCAGAAACAAACATCTGTTAACGTAATAGTTACTTTAGAGGGCTAGGCTGGATAACCGATTTATTGAGCAACTGATCTCTAATTTGTTACTTGCTTTGAAATTTAAATTCGTGACAATACTCTTTGCTTCCTTCTAAGCATTTTCCAGAATAGTAATGTGGAAGAAAATAATCATCAAGTTTAAGTCAGTGAACCGCTCCAGGGGCCTTCTCTATTTCCTCATCTGTAAAATGAGCATTTTCGACTAAATTTTTTTTAAGATCCTTTTTTGCTTTCTAGATTCACTTAAAAAACAAAAAACTGGAGGGTTCTACCTGCTTTCAAAGATTTATCACACAATTTTAAAAGCATTTTGGTCCACTTGAACAATTCATTTTTAATTCAATTTGTAGACAATCTCTCAGAGCCACCTGTTTCATAAATTGAGGCAGACCTGTCCTGAACGTCGCACGGTAATTTCTGCAGGCTGAGATTAGCAAAACTTAAAAATAATCTAATCAGTTGCTTAGCTGCCCCCTGATGCCAGACCAGGTCTAGACTGATGGCTGGGTGGAACAGAAAGCAGAGGCCCACAGCTGTGTGGTGATGAACATGGGACCTAGGGGACAGAGTGCCTGGCTCTGGGAAAATTCCTTAATCTCATTAAACTTGTTTCCCCTTCTATACAGGTGGGCTAATAATAGTGCCTACTTCACTACTGGTAAGATTTAATACATACACTCTCTTTTTAAAAAACTTTTATTGTGCTTTAAGTGAAAGTTTACAATTCAAGTCAGTTTCCCATACAAAAATTTATACACACATTGCTATGTGACCCTAGTCGCTCTTCCTATACTGTGACAGCACATTTCCTCCTTTCCACCTCAGAACTCCCATGTTCATTCATCCGGCTCCTGACCCTGTCTGCCTTCTCATCTCACCTTGGGGCAGGAGCTGCCCATTTAGTCTCATGTATCTACTTGAGCTAAGAAGCACACTCCTCGTAAGTATCATTTTATGTCCATAGTCCAGTCTAATCTTTGTCTGAAGAGTTGGCCTCGGGAATGGTTTCAGCTCGGGCCAACAGAGTCCAGGGCCTCGTCTTCCGGGGTCCCTCCAGTCTCAGTCAGACCATTAAGTCTGGTCTTTTTACTAGAATTTGAGTTCTGCACCCTACTTTTCTCCTGCTCCATCAGGGACTCTCTGTTTTGTTCCCTGTCAGGGCGGTCATTGGTGGTATCCGGGCAACATCTAGTTATTCTGGTCTTAGGCTGATGGAGTCTCTGGTTTATGTGGCCCTTTCTGTCTCTTGGGCTAATACTTTCCTTGTGGCTTTAGTGTTCTTCATTCTCCTTTGCTGGGACCAATTGATGCATCTTAGATGGCCGCTCGCTAGCCTTTAAGACCCCATATGCCAGTCACCAAAGTGGGATGCAGAACATTTTCTTAATAAACTTTATTATGCCAATTGACCTAAATGACCCCTGAAAGCATGGTCCCCAGACCCCTGCCCCTGGTACTCTGTCCCTCAAAGTGTTTGACTGTATTCAGGAAACTTCTTAGCTTTGGTTTAGTCCAGTTGTGCTGACTTCCCCTGTAGTGTGTGTTGTCCTTCCCTTCACCTAAGCTAATTCTTGTCTTCTGTCTAGTTTGTGAATACCTCCCTCCCTCCCCACCCTCGTACCATCAAAGAATGTTTTCTTCTGTGTTTAAACCTTTTCTTGAGTTCTTAAAATAGTGGTCTTATACAATATTTGTCCTTTTGCGACTAAATTCACTCAGCGTAATGCCATCCAGATTCCTCCATGTTATATGTTTCACGGATTCATCGCTGTTCTTTATCGTTGCGTAGTATTCCATTGTGTGACTATACCGTAATTTGTTTATCCATTCGTCCATTGATGGGCACCTAGGTTGTTTGCATCTTTTTGCTATCATGAACAGTGCTGCAGTGAACATGGGTGTGCATATATCTATTCATGTGACGGCTCGTTGCTCTAGGATGTATTCCAAGGAGTGGGACTGCTGGATCATATGGTACTTCTATTCCTAGCTTTTTAAGGAAGCACCAAATATCCAAAGTGGTTGTACCATTTTACATTCCCACCAACAGTGTATAAGTATTCCAGTCTCTCCACAACCTCTCCAACATTTATTATTTTGTGTTTTTTGGATTAATGCTAGCCTTGTTGGGGTGAGATGGTATCTCACTGTAGTTTTGATCTGCATTTCTCTAATGGCTAATGATCGTGAGCATTTCCTCAAGTGTCTGTTAGCTGCCTGAAGGTCTTCTTTGGTGAAGGGCCTGTTCATATCCTTTGCTCATTTTTTATTTTTTTTTATTTTGGGTGTGATTATGTTTTATCTTATTTTTTTATATAATTTTTTTATTGCACTTTAGATGAAGGTTTACCGAACAAATAGTTTCTCATTAAACAGTTAGTACACATATTGTTTTATGACAATGGTTAACAACCCCATGACATGTCAAGGCTGTCCCTTCTCAACCTCGGGCTCCCTATTACCAGCTTTCCTGTCCCCTCCTGCCTTCTAGTCCTCGTCCCTGGACTGCTGTGCCCCATTGGTCTCATTTTGTTTTATGGGGCTGTCTAATCTTTGGCTGAAGGGTAAACCTCGGGAGTGACTTCATTACTGAGCTAAAAGGGTGTCCGGGGGCCATATTCTTGGGGTTTTTCCAGTCTCTGTCAGGTCAGTAAGTCTGGTCTTTTTTTGTGAGTTAGAATTTTGTTCTGCATTTTTCTCCAGCTCTGTCCAGGACCCTCTGTTGTGATCTGGGTCAGAGCAGTCGGTGGTGGTAGCCGGGCACCATCTAGTTGTACTGGACTCAGTCTGGTGGAGGCCGCGGTAGTTGTGGTCCATTAGTCCTTTGGACTAATTTTTTCTTTGTATCTTGTTTTCTTCATTCTCCCTTGCTCCCAAAGGGGTAAGACCAGTAGAGTATCTTAGATGGCTGCTCACAGGGTTTTAAGACCCCAGATTCCTTTGCCCATTTTCTAATTGGGTTGTTTGTCTTTTTGTTGTTGAGGTTTTGCAGTATCTTGTAGATTTTAGAGATTAGACGGTGATAGGATTTGTTGTAGCCAAATTTTTTTTCCCAGTCTGTAGGTTGTCTTTTTAGTCTTTTGGTGAAGTCTTTTGATGAGCATAAGCGTTTGATTTTTAGGAGCCCCCAGTTATCTAGTTTCTCTTCTGGTGTTTGTGCATTGTTAGTAATGTTTTGTATTGTGTTTATGCCATGTATTAGGGCTCCTAGTGTTGTCCCTATTTTTTCTTCCATGATCTTTATCATTTTCGATTTTATGTTTAGGTCTTTGATCCATTTTGAGTTAGTTTTTGTGGATGGTGTGAGGTATGGGTCTTGTTTCAGATTTATGCAGATTGATATCCAGTTATACCAGCACCATTTGTTAAAGAGACTGTCTTTTCCCCAATTAACAAACTTTGGGCCTTTGTCAAATATCAGCTGCTCACAGGTGGATGAATTTACGTCTGGATTCTCAATTCTGTTCCATTGGTCTATGTATCTGTTGTTGTACCAGTACCAGGCTGTTTTGACTACCGTGGCGGTATAACACGTTCTAAATCACGTAGTGTGAGGCCTCCCACTTTGTTCTTCTTCAGTAATGTTTTACTTATCTGGGGCCTCTTCCCTTTCCGTATGAAGTTGGTGATTTGTTTCTCCATCTCATGAA